GGTTTTTTTTTTTTTTTTTTTTTTTTTTTTATTTTTTATTTTTCTTAAGTAAAGGTGGGACGAGAGTGATCAGACGGTTCGTCGTTCGTCAAGCGTTTTCTCCCAAGCTCCATTGCGTTTCTTGTTTTTGTTTTGCATGAGCTGTCGTTCGCGCCAACTCCACATTATGCAATAAGCGGGAGAATGGTAGGTGAGCATCCGTTTGTCAGTCAGATGTGTGCTCTCTCGGGTCGTGGCTGCCGTAAAAATCAACACGTTCCTGAGGAAAACGCAGCGTCGTGGGAGAACGTTCCTCATGCGCGGTCTTTGTTGACTTGCCCCCGCTGTTGGAAGACGAGGAATGATTGCTGGCTGGTTACTTCGTGTGAGGAGAGGGAGTTCGTGAAAGTTCTTGACCGTCCGCAAAACTTTCAACCAATCGCTGCTGTCTTGCGTTCATTTTTCTTCCTTTCAAATTATTCAGAGGACTTTCTTACCTGGGACTGACGGAGGGGCAGGCAATACATTTTTCTAATTTCTGAACATCTTCAATTCGCGGTTTCTGCAGCCTTTTTTTTTTTTTTTTTTTTTATTTTTTTTTTTTTTTTTTTTTTTTTTTTTTTTTTTTAGAAACATAATGACCTGAATTCCAGATTATCCCCACCTTGAGTAACAAACTTTTTGAAAAACGCTCAAAGCTAAGGTTTTTGGAGTCAAGCTGAACCTTCAGGTCTACCGCACGTACTTCATACGTTTCGATTTGCGCAGCGCCCACAGAAAATAGACGAGGACTTCCATGTTCTTCGCGAGATGAACGCTGTAAAAATGGGAAGCTTTTATTTCTAGCAAAGCAATTCGTTTTCTAGGCCTGTAGGAAGGCTCGTGGAGCTCCGTAATATTAATTTCGAAATAAGGCTTCACCACAGCTGACGACTCCATAAAACCTTAGCTTTGAGCGTTTTTCAAAAAGTTTGTTACTCAAGGTGGGGATAATCTGGAATTCAGGTCATTATGTTTCTAGCCTATTTTTCTAGGCCATCCTTACTGATTTTTTAGGATATTTTGGTTTTATAGGGTATTTTGTCTTGGGAAAATGTCAATTGATTTTGATTTTGTTAATTCTTTCTTTCGGTCGTCGCTTTTCTTTTCCCGGTGTTTTCGAGGAGCCGTTGAAGGCGGGTCATTAAGGACTCCGCAGATCACCTGTTGAAAACGCCAGTCCTACTTCCTGCGTCCTGCGCATCCTTGTACGGGGATGTGAATAGTTCTCACTTGATTTAATCTAAGACCTTTTATGGCGACACTGATCATGACCAACTGCATGTTTTTTTTCTGAGAATGCCACCCGTCATGAGGTCATGACTTGGCGATTAAAAATGTTTAATGCTATGCGTAAGTTTTCCAGGAAAGGTCTGTAAAGATGCCTGTTGTTCATTGGGCAGAAAAGCAGTAAAGTATGCCATGCATGTTTAGTATTGGTTTTGTGTCCTGAGCGTTGTAACTCAGAACTCCGCTACGTAGTTGACTCCATCCACGAAAAGTTGTTCTCTCGACAGCGTGGAAGACGGTCCTTCGCTTTTAGGGCCGTTCTCAATCTTTTCGGAATTTTTGTTTGTGCTTGTATGAAGTGACAGTACCCTCCTGTTGAGCAGAAAGTAGGTCCCGATGTTTCATACAAAACCGTGTCTAGGAGTTCCTCCTTTTTTTAATGGCGTGTGAAGCCTGGATGCCAAGAAGACTGAAAGCGCTCGGCACGCCTGCCGACACGTTTAACCTCGTTGCTTGAAAGGCTCGTCGCAGGGAAACGTCATGTTTTGCACTTGATGCGAGCGGCTTGGTTGGTAATTGAATAGCAAAAAATTCGGCCCAGGTTTTGAGTCCAAGAAGCGGAGCCCCGATGACCTGTATAATTCGCATAAATTCAGCGTCGGCGCAATTTCAGGCGCTGCCGTGGTTCGTGATGAAATGACGGCGCGGAGGACTTGAGAGTGGGATTGAATACAAGAGTGGGTGAATGAGGGCAGATGCTCGTTGTCTGCGGGCTTATCATCGTGATCCCATTCGGGGTCAATCGGCTTCATGCCGGGGTCAGCGGGTCTTCCTGTTCGTGCTGCTCCAAGCTGGAAAAGGGGATTTTTTTGACGGTCGTTCGTGGCGCGGAGCGGAAGTGTCAACGCCCGCCGCTGCTGTTTTCCGCTCGTGCTTTGCCTGAAGAAAAATCGGGCGCGATCGACACGAAGATCGGACCGGAAGAATGCCTCGGTTTCCTTGTTTCGCGGTGTGCTTTCTCTATGTGCACTACTGACGTAAAGTCTTTCTTCTGGGTTTAGTTGAAATTTACTGTAAGTTGAAGAAATTATCTGCACACAATCTGCAGCATGGAAGCCATTTTCGAGAGTTTCAGTTTATGAAAAATTTATTTTTGAAGAGAAAGATGTAAGATGTGACCGAAAAATATCTTAGTTTCCCTGTTTCGCGGTTGAGGTTTTATCTCGCTGGTTGCTGACGTCGAGTCTTCCTTCCCCGATTTCCACACAAAGCAGACTGAAAAAAAAAAAAAAAAAACTCGCATCGTTTTTATTTCTCTAAATATATATCCCATCTGTTATATCATTGCTTTGCAGTACAAAGCCAGTTGCAAATGAATGTGGTGATGAAAATGCAATGGGAAGAGCTGTTTTGCGCCTTTTGAAGGATACTGTACTGCAAGTCTCCGAAGAATGTCCCACGTGTGAAGTGGGTCTTTACTTGAATGATTATAGGCCGCGCACTGATTTTTGTGATGATTCTATGAAAACGAATATGAGCTGACCTGCAACCTTGCGCGGAAACTGGCATGAAATAATAAGTGACTTTTTTATGTATATTTGATTTCTCATATAGCATGAGGTGTTCCAATGCACTCGTGAACATCGAAAATGGTATTAAAACGGCGATTTTTCAAAATGAAGATAACGGTTCATGAGCTGCGTTTGTTGCTTGAAAATGTAACTTCCCACGTAGGATCTGAATGTACTTCAGCCCTCAGCTGGTTGATCGATCGATCGGTCAAGCAATTTCACCGTATGGAGAATTCAGTCGTCAGCAAAAGGGAAGTTTGTGATCGCGTTTTCGGCGTTCAGAAATTGCTTTTCGAAGTATCGAAATGGATTACTATGTCCCGATTCTGCGGACTGAATGCTCTGAATGGGGATTGCGAATTTGTTCAGCCGCGGATAGAGCTTTTTTCTTATTCTTGAAAGTGAGCGAAAAAGTGATCTTGTGCAGATTTTATTGAATGCAACTGGGACACGGTTATTCTCCCAGGGTCGAATCTCATATCCGCTGTTCGGAAACAAAAGCAGCGAACCCAAAATTCAGCGATAATTCTGAACGGAACTTGCTCGCCATTTCATTCGAAACCTATCGTGTGATTTCAAGCTGAATGAGCTTTGTTCTCCCGTGCTGAAGGAAAGGTGCTGGTGATGATTGTGTGGAAAGCCGTCTGCGGTCTTCTGATTCTGCACAACGATTCTTTCGTGCGATGCTATGTTTCTGATGCAATTTCGTGGTTCACTTTCTCGGGTTTACGATTTTCAGACTTTCTCGTGTTGCTCGCGCTAACGCGAGTTCTTAATTTGAAATACAGTAGTGGAGTTGAAAGCTATTTTAGATTAGCTAATCGTATTTGTTCGAATAACTTTTCTAATAATCGCTCTTACCATGCTTCGATTTTTTCCTGGCGGATTTTTCGCTTGTCATAGTGCGAACTACTTGCTTTGCTTCAGAAACTGCATTGTGGGAGTAATTCCCACCTTTTATTCTGCCGGCAATCTCATCAAGGAGATGCGGTTTTCGTCTGATTCCGGCGTATAGTGAAGTACTTGAGCGCATGGTTTTATTGTCCCTGAAATGATATTTCGGGTTTACTACAGAGATTTTCATCCGTGTGGTGGATTTTACAGTACTAGGTTCAAGACAGCCTAGTGTTCACGTACCACCTCCGCTGAGTACCATCTGACCAACGCAGTACTTTCTGTACAGAGCCTTCCGTGTCTTCAGGCTTCAACTAACTCAAGAACCTTATCCTTGACTGGAGTTAATTGAACATACATTTAATAATAAAATACTCGTCTGGGCTTCACGTTCAAATTTTTCATTTCCCGCGGAATCGTGTACCTCAGTTATTTCAAACACTGGTTCTGTCTCCAACCCTTGGCACCCATATTCATTTTTCTCGGACAATGCTGAGCATCGCTTCTACCTGGCAAGTGTTTCAAACACCAGGGTACGCCTTCCACTGAGTAATTGATCCATTGTAAAAAAAAAAATGGTGTACTGATCTTACGAGCAGCATTCTTGTTCGAAATTTGTTTGGTCTGGAATAAGAACGTTCTTACTGTCCGCCTGGCGAATAAATTGCACGAGGCCAAACGTTGGAATTGAAATCGCCCGGCTAATTGCTGGAAAAACAGTCGTTGTCTTGAAATTGAAATATTTCGTGGAAATCTGGATCAGTTGTACAGTACAGTAATTCCGCGTGAACTTCGTGGATGCAAAAGCTCCTTTATTTACAGAATTTAAAAACGTGCGTCTCGCGCAATGTTGAAGCTTTTGTCGCCTTTCGTTGTATGTTGGGGTATTTGAATAGATTCCCCCGTTCGTTTTCTGGAAGTCTGAGAACGTTCGATGCTCCCCGGTCAGGGTGGAAAAGTTGGCTCGACGTTCGAGTCACGTGAGGAAAGATAATGAATAAAATACCTTTGCCCACGGCGAAGACCCGAGTTGCTTGCAACCGTGATTCCTGAAGATTTCGGAGAAGTGGTAAAGGTGTAATGCCTCGAGCCACGGTCAGGGATTTATGTGTTGGCAGAAAGGCATCTTCAAGCACGAGATAATGCGAAGCCCGGGTTGTACCGATAATTTCAGCGCCGAGCTCACGAGCTCGCCTAGATCCATAATCAATTACTGCATGAACATTTCTTCTCTTTCTCACTATTTTCTTTTTCTCTCACTGGTATTGTTCGCCAGAGACCCGAAGTATGCGTGGGGCGGAATTTCGCCCCGGGCGAGAAGCATTCCTCGACTCATGGTGTTTTTTCTTCTTACCCGCAGGACGATTTGTGGGACGCCGAATTACATCGCACCGGAAGTTTTGGGGAAGATGGGCCACAGCTATCAAGCGGACATCTGGGCGATTGGTTGCATAATGTGAGTGCCTTGTGATTAGCATGTCGTTTTGTATCGTATCTTGCCGTGTCGTGAAATGGCGAGCAACGTCGTAACTTTTTGGTGGAATGCGCGGTGCTCGGACAGCTGAATGGCCGATGCGCGCCTGGCGCCGACTCCACGCCGAGTTTTGCTCTCATTTCCGAACTCGGCTAATTCTCGTTTTTGCCAGCTGTACTTTTCTTGCATTATTGTATTCGTATCCGCTCCTCTGTTGGAGGGATTCTGCAATCTTGCCTCCCAGCACCCTCCTAGCCAGCATTGCGAATTGTGCCACTCGGTATCGGGATTCAACTCGTCGGGGCTTTGCCCTACTTTCCTCCGCAAATCGTGCACTTCTTGAGCAGTTCCGGTACATGGCATCGATATTATTTCTCGTATAGCAAGCTTTAAATCGAGCGCCTAGCGTATCCCCGATTTTGAGATTGAATGGGAACACAATATTGTAAAGTAAAATCCAGGCACGAAAAGCTAGGCTGTTGTGAAATTACATTTTTGTTTTGCTGAAAAGAATGTCGCCACGAGATTCTCCCAAAATCTTGAATAGCGGTTTATGTTTTCAATCGAGAAGGCACATACAGTACTATTCTTTCCAATTCAGGATACACGTATGCCAAACTGCGATTTGCTAGCAGAATCTACTTTATTCTTCGAATGTGTATTGTTTGAAACAGGTTATTGAATTCTGAAGAAAAACCGGTGGCCACTGATGTCAAGATGTTTTCGCAAAATTCCTCTGATTTTTCTTTTTTTTATTCTTTGCTTCATGGCAATCACTGAATTATATTCGAGTATCCTCAATAGGGCTTAAGGACTCTTGAAACACGCTAATTTTTTTGGTGAACTTGTTCTCCGCACGGTTGTAGGGTTCATTTTAAGCCCTTCGTACTGGTTTTCAGTTCAACTTTAGTTTGCGAACGATTATTGGAAAGTTCTGATGTTAACTATCAGACCTTGACTCAGTAAAAATCACGTTGATCATCCCGGCGTCTACGAAGACTCCAGATAGGGATGCAAAAGTCGGACACAACTTATTCAACAAGCCTCGTAATGTCAGATCTAGGTTCTGGCTAAAATTCGCAAAAAAAAGCGTGGCCTGGCAATTCCGTCAAGCACCAGATGTGCGGATTCGGGAAATTGAAGACGTCTCGCTGATGTTCGATGTATCATCAGGTATGCCATGCTGGTCGGTCAACCGCCGTTCGAGACAGCAACACTGAAAGAAACTTACTTCCGGATAACCATGAATAAGTACTGCCTGCCACTGACGCTGTCCACCGAGGCCCGGAACCTGATCGCGCGACTCCTGCACCCGGTGCCCACGAGTCGCCCGAGCCTCAACCAAGTTCTCAACGACGAATTCTTCAACGCTTACATCCCGCCGGTTCTTCCTACTTCCTGCTGCGTTGAAGCACCCAAGTTCAAGATGTCATCCGCAATGCTTACTCGGTAAGTGTAAAAAAAAATCGAGAAAATATTGCAGGGATCGCCAAGTTCGAATGCGTGACTCCTATCAAACAGCAGCGGGCCCTGTGCTTCTGATATTCCCGACCGTATTTTTCTTATCTTGACTGTTGATAGTTTGCTGCTTGAAATTGGGCAAAATTATTTGAGTTTATCGGAAATACCGCGATGCGGGTCACGCAAGTGCCATTAAAGTGTACCCAATTTGGATGACCTCAACCTGGCGAAGGTATGCCCAATAAGAGAGAATATTTACTTGAACGCGTGAAAAATAGCTTTCAAGTTCCATCTGCTGAGCGATTTTCATGGATGCAAATTATCTACGTTTTCCTTTATCTGGACAATTTTAAGAGAAAGTATCTTGCGCGACATTTTTTTACGAAGTTCATTCGATCTTTGAATGCATCGATCCCTTACGCCTTCTTGAAAAACCAATTCTGTGTTCGATAAAGCTCTTTTCCTCCAGGTTTTGCGCATGTTTTTCAAACTATCACTGAAGCTTAGCCCTTTGAAAGGGTGGAAAATCCAATTGCGTGGGATTAATTCACGAAGGCTCAATTTCGACCTTGATGGAATTACACGGCGATATGCGAGAATAAATGCTAGAGAAAGATTTTTTGCTCCAGTTATCGGGTTAAGGGAAAAGTAAACGTTCACTGCGGTAAGCCGATTATCTTTAATCTAGATTCAGTCCTTGTGGGGTCTGTCAAGTGATGCGATATGAACATGTCTTAGTGAAAGCTGTCTTTCCTTGAAATATCCGACAATGACGTCGATCCCTTGTTTTTGTTTTTTTTTTTAACGGTCGTAATAGTATCTGAAAGGATCGAGTGTTTCTGGTGATTCTTTGACATTTATCTTCGCACCTTTTGCAGAACACGTGCGTCTCTTGTTAAATTTATGTCATCCTTCACTCGCAGTGAACGTGTATCACTACTGATTGAAGTCGCTGTAACTGGAAGCGATTTGAACGTCGTTGGCTGCCATCTTTGAAAATTTGAAAGCATTCCGAATTTTTGGCGCTGTAAAAAGGTCACATGCGTGTCTAACCTCGGGTTTTGTTTCATTTTCAAGCAGTCGTCCAGAAAGAATGGATGCCAGCTGTGGGCGAACGGAGGAAAACAAATGCATTGTCTCGTCGATGTCAACCCTGAATATTGCTCTGGAATCGTCGCCGAAGGCGGTGCCTGTTTCCATGGATGTTACTCCATCTGAGGTGATTGAAAATCCTGCATCTTTCGGCGTCGTTTAATTTCTCCAAAGGAAAAACAAAGAACTGGCTCGATCCTCGAAGTGCAGTATATCTTTTTCAAAGGATTCATTTCCGAAAAGAAATCCTTCATGGGACTGAGACTTTTTTCTACACCGACGCGAAACTCAACTTTACCGAATTTAATGACAAGTACTATCTAGTGTTAATTTTCAAAACGTCTTGTTACGCTGTACCTCAGATACGTCACGTTCGTGAAAACTTACGGACGTCGGTAAGTGCGAGGTTAGGTGTTAACGGGAATACTAAGTGAAATCCATATCGTTACTCGGTCCACCGACGATAGATTCTTTTTGTAGATAACATCGTTGAAGAGGACTTCCTTATGAATTGATCGAAGGTCTGTCGCGAGACTCGCGATCGCGACCAGAAGATCAATCACAACTTGTCTGAAGAATAAACTACGAATAAAAAAATGTGTAGGGATGCTGCCTGTTATTTGCTGATGGGCTAGAAAAATTACTAATTGGCCTCTTTTTCATCTTATGGGAGTTGGCGCGACGCCGGAAAATCCTGATGAATATCCGAGTGGAATTAGATCTGAAGATCTCGTTTCTTCCGTTAGGTGTCTGCTCCAACGAAGCGAACGGCGCTGGTGAGACGAGAGACCTCCGCTGCAGATTCGACCCCCGAATCGAGACTTTCACGTAGCCAGAGCTTGAAGGACAATCTACAATGCTTGTCCAAACGCGAAACGAAGATGGCTACCAGATCTCGCACGAAACTCGCGACCGCTGTGAGCAACGAGAAGCTGACGATGGGTACGGTGTCCCAGTCGAACCCATCTTCTGGCTATGAATCCACCTCCACGTCTTCCTCGAGTCAGTGTCAATCCAACCCGCAGTCGTCGGATCAGGGACCCGTCACGGGGAACGCTTGCAAAACCCCCATGTTCAACCACGTCGTTGTAGTGACCCTGCGCATGCAGGAGTCCATCAAGCAGTGTCTTCGTGTAATGCCAGCCGGTAGGTGTCGCTGCCACCGTTTGCGAAACTTCGAGTCAATCGTACGATATTCACGAGGGATGATCCATACGATCTGAGATTCCGTTATTTGTTATCACCAGAGGTGTTCGCCGTTTTTTTATTAGATTTTTCATCAATCCATCGTTCAAATTTAAAAATGCTGCGTGGCTTGTAAAATATATTAGAGGAAAAGCTTGAAGTGCGTCTCTCCACGCACTGAATGTAGAAAAGGGTTCATTCACGAGCAGAGTTGCGAATACTGTACATTATTGAATGCACAAGTTATTGAATTGGGCTAACATCATATTAAGCAGGACTTCACTATGTTGCTGAATGTCGCAGTCGTGCAACTGAATTCCTTTCGGAAGCTGAAAAATCTCTGGATACTTTCAATTAATTTTTTAAACTTCTAGATCGTCCTTCATGTGACAGATTCTTGGTGCTTTTTCTGATTAGCGATGACTGATTTCTTCGCGGATTTTATTGAATCTGTTCAGAGTTCAACCATCGTCCTCCTGAGATTTAGGCATTCATTAAGAATGCGAGATGAAATCTCGGGATGAAATATTTGTCTGTGTACTGCACGATAAAAAAAAGCTGAAATTAAAAGATTTGATTCAATGGCTTTTCTAGAGAAGTTATCCAAGTTCTAATTTTGCGGAACGACTTGCGATTGTTACATTTTTACGGATTCAGTAATAATAACTCGTTTTTTTCTCTCGTGATTAGATGTGTGCTGTAATCCATCGCCGAGGAAAGGACCCCAGCCAGTGTTCATTTCTAAGTGGATCGACTACAGCAATAAGTACGGATTCGGATTCCAGCTGTCTGACAAATCCGTGGGTGTTATGTTCAACGACAACACCAGGATTGCATGCTCCGGCGATCGACGGTAATTATCTCGCATTCTCATTCGACGTTTGTTTAATGAGCTTAGTCCTTCATCAGGTGTATATACAGGTTCGTGTGGACTCCGATTGTTCGGACGAATCTCCGAAAAGAGATGTATTTTATGTAAAATGCTGTAGAACTTTTAACTACAGTACCTCCGAACACCTCGGCTCATTCAAATTCTACTCAATTTTGATCAGTTCCTTAGTTTCAACTTTAAATTTTAATTAACCATGTATGGGAGATAACCGTACTTGAGCAGGAATTCCAGGTACAACATTTATGGCTATACCCTGAACAAGGTCATCCGCAGTCAATTTTAAAATTGAATGATTCTATCAGCCGCATACTACTGTACTAGCTGTATATAGCTCCGATAAGGAGAATCCCAGAAATTTTTTCGTACCTTCGATGGAGATGGATTACGGCAATACTCACATGACAAGCAAAAAAGCATCATTTTGCGTGTTTCGTGTTCGAATTATTTTGCTGTAGTGGAGCTGCCTATAAATTGATCAAATCTTTGACCGACCAGGAAAATTTCTTTGTACGAAGAATATTGCTGTGAAGGAATCAGTTGCAGAAAGTTGAGCATTATATCGTATATCAGTCTTATATTTTGGGAAACACGTCACAATATGTATTTGGTCTTATGGAGTCCGTTGAATTTCTCGGTCTGAAAGGGTTCTAGGAAATTTTTATAACATTTGAGGAGATTTAAACCGTCACGATTTGGAAGAAATGTTATGTTCTGGTTTAATTTTATTTCGTTTCGCGTTGCAGCCGCGTCGAATTTTGGGATAGCGAAGGCGGCCTGAGCATCTTCAATCAGGGCAATGTGCCGCAGCCGCTGGAAGAACGGTACACTCTGCTGAGATACTTCGCCAAGTACATGGACGAGAACCTGACCGAAGGCGGCGGGCACGGCGCCCCAGCCCGAGCCGACGTGCCCATGGCGACAAACGGCGCCATGAATGGCTCGTCGTGCGTGTCCACTATTCCGCACATGCGGTGTTGGATCCGGTCTTCGGCTGCCATCATCATGCATCTGAGTGATGGCACGGTTCAGGTACGATGCCGGCGTGATTCATAGTCTCAATTGGTTGCAGTTAGCGCACGTGGTGCTGGATTTTTTATGGCACTGCCGTGCGAATAGTGATAGTAATAATTTTCTGACGTGTCTATATAAATTCCTCGTAGTTATGTGGAGAAGTTGGGCATCTTCGATAAGATCTGCGGTTGTGTCCGTGATTCATTTCGAATCTGTGGTCAGAGCAGCGAATCCGTCTGATGGGGCTGTCTCGAAATTAGATCCGATTCGTTAAGATTGCCTGCTGCTGCATTTGAGTTGTTCCCTCGTTCGATCATTCATGTTTCGTTGGTCTCCGCCCTCTTTTCTTCTTCCTGTAGTTCATTTTCTAATGATCAAGCAACAGATCATTAGATTCTTTTGAGTTTAAATGAGTGCACTGGGTGTGTAACTCAATGTCTATGAATGGAAACTCTGGTGGATAAATTTTCGGAAGATGTTCCCCAGAACGCGCCAAAATCAAACTAACGCTTGCAAAATACAATATCATTCCTATTTTACCCATTTAATTGGAACTCTTCATTTAGTTTCGGTTGCCGAAATACTGTATACTATTCGTCGATCTCGCTGGAAAATTTATGAAGTTCTGTACGTATTTACTCGAAAATAGTCTTCCGGCCTTCGTAAGATTAAATCGTTCTTCGTGAATTTTTGACGAAAGCTCATTATTCGTGGTAAATTTTTGATAGTTCGCTGACCAAATTAAATGATTGAACTGTTCATTTCGTATATTGACCGAACTTTTCCTCGTAGAGTTTATTGCTAATTTAAATTTCCATCTTTTTCCCCCTGAAATGTCTGCCTGAAATAATGGTACGGCCTGTGCTTTCGTGCGGGCTATGATTTCGTAAATATGAAATGCGCATCTTGGCGTGTGTCACCGATTCCCGGAACTGAATTTTAGATTGATACTTACATCAATACAGTCATTGATTTTTTGCATCTTTTTTTATATTTACAGATCAACTTCTTCAAAGACCATACGAAAGTCGTGATCTCAGCTACGGACGACGCGGAGGACTTCGTTCCGAGGCCGACTGTGTTAATCACTTTCATCAACAGCCAGCGCAGCAGCAGTACTTACGATATTGCCTCACTTACGCTTCGCGGATGTGAACCGATTCTGCGCGAGCGACTCGTGTTCGCTTCGTCTGCCCTGGAGCAAATCACGCCATTGAAGGAGAAACAAGTCTAGGGTCGCTGTCAGGTGAACTAGCTGCCCAAGGAGATAATCTCGGAAGAACTTCTAATTTGCTCGCCATTTAAAAAAAAAAAGCTTCTTCGGTGTTCTGTGAATATTGCTTATGGGTGCCTTACAATTCGTGATTCCCCGCCGCGTTCGTATCTGATCCCGAATCGAGTTTTTTGTTTTGCTTTTTCCTGCTTGATTTATTTTTTCCGTGCGACGGGGGGTGGATCCGACTCGCTGTTTCCATATCGAAGCCGAAGGGGCTCGTCGAAATTTATTTTGTGTTCGGTTAGAAGGTCTCTAAGAAAGGCAGGTGTGAGATCCACCTTCAATCCCTCTCCAAGGAGTGAATTACCGTGCGGTTGCTGTGCGTGATCCTTGGCTGTTAGAGCGCGATTGGGTGGGAGATCATCTGCGGAAGTGTGTCTTGGCTGGCTGAGAACTGTGGGTCGGTTTTTTAGGCGAGAAGATTTTGAAGGAGGATGATCTCAGAGGTTCAACGTGCAGCGTTGACTGGTGGGCAAAAAGAAGGGGACAGCGAACCGGGCGATGGTCGACTGAGCCAGAATGTGTGAAATCGCCGCTCTCTGTTTTTGTCTTCCGCTGGCGCTGGAGTGATGGATTCGTGCCTTCAGTTCCAGTTATTCTGATCACACTGCGAAAGCCTGGTGTTCGCGTCTGCTGAACTTGAACGCTGAGCTTAGAGATTCATACTCTCTGGCCTCTGTCCCATCTTACCGCCTCGCGAGCGGACATTGGGGATATGAAGCTCTCAGTGCTGTTTGTGAAATGCTGTGGTGTTGCTTCGGAATTGTGATAACAGGAAAACACTTACAGTAATTTTTTGCATTCGAGTAGTAAAACCCGAAGGGATAATATGCTGGATTATGGCCGAGCATTTTTTTTCAACATTCCATGCGTCGTCATCAGGTCAACTTCGGGCGCTCAAAAGTCCATTGTGTTGATTCCCCACAGGCTTGTTTTCTATAACTCTTGGTCCGTCTAAATTCTGGAAGTTTGCTCATTATTTCAAGCATTTAATTTTTTTTTCTGTAACGAAGGAAAGAAACTGCGGAGGCCGCGCTGTGGTTTTCTTACGCGGGGCGATTCTTGTTTCTTCGGGGAGTCTTGATTAATTTGTTACATCTTGCATTGCGGCCGTAATGCAGTAATTGCAGCGGATACTTTTCGGAAACTCGTACGTGTGGGAACGGTGGGTGCGTGTGGGTGTACATAATTTCGCCGTGGGCATCGGAATCTGTTCGAAGCGCGATGTTGGCGGTACTCTTCATTTAGATCTAGCCCGGCGGCGTTCCCTCGTGGGGACGCCTCGAAATCCGCGGTTGCTGCGCAGCGATTGTGGAAGGAATGAAAAAAGCGATTTGATGTTCGATGTTTCTGTGTGCTGACGCGAACTGGAAGATCATCTAGAATTGAGTGTTGCATTCGTTTCTTGCGATGAGAAACCTTGGGCGAACTCTCCTGAGCCGGGCATTCATAACTCCGTGTTTCATTCACGCTGAACTGCCATCGAAGAAATATGTCCGGAGAGTTTTCTGAGGATCGAATAAATTATCCGTTTGCGGAGACATGTCTTCTATCTCTTTCTTCTTGTCCGACGAATCGTTCAGAAATTTCGCAGTACGCCGACATGAGCCTCTTTGTATACCTAAGTTTGTTGAAAAAAGCTCGAGTGCCTGTATTTCAAACTTCATTTAGGAAAACAAATATCTCGACTCAATTTCCAATAATTTCATGTGAAACGTTTAAAATGCTTGCTATGAACCAGCAACACGTTGCGTTTTTCTGAAGCGAGTGGTGTTACCTTGGCATGAAAATTAAAAATCATCTCCGCCGAGTTTTGGTGGGGTCAACTTCCGGAAATGCTTGGAAACTGCATTGAAAATTGAATTCATTAACTTTTCAAGGATGATTGGAACAGCGATTGTATGTCCCTATCGTGGTCTTCGGATTGTGAAGCATCAGCGAAGCCATGAATTGTATGGCCGAGGTTCTCAATTTTAAAAAATCACTTACGCTGATTTTTAATGCTGAATGATTGCCGAAATCTATTCTCTACCAGTACTGTATCTAAGAGCCGTCACGTATGAATCTTTTAAGGAATGAACATATTACAGTATAATGCCGAAAAACGCGCTTATGAGTGTTAAAACTTCCCAAAAACAACGCTGGAGCTCAATTTTCCTTTACATTGCGATAGATGACTCCGACAAGTAGGTTGGTCCCGCACTCAGTGAGATCACCGGTCCATTTATGAGTGCGCTTGATGAAGGGAATAACCATACGGTGGTACCTCGCAATTCGACGCTAATCTGTTGCCAAACTAGGGTCGAATTGCGAAGCAGTCGAATTGCGAGACACTTTGTTAAATAAAAAAAAAGGTTAGGACAAAAACGCGAGAAAATTGTCCAAAGCAGGTTGAATTGCGGGGCAAGGGTCGAATTGCAAGTCAACCTCCCTGCAAAGTCGACCATCGAATTGCGGGACGGTCGAATCGCGGGGTACGACTGGTATTACCTTCAATGAGATGGGGTGCAATTTAATTCAGTCTCATATCAATTACCTCACACGGAGCAAAAATGGAAACACAGGTCAACGATACTTCAACTATAATCTAAAATTTATATGCAAAAATGTTGTCAATCCTCATATTTATTAAAAAAAAAAAAAGGAAAGTGATGCGCGAGGCTGAAAGAAAGTTCCTGAGTACAATTTCATTTTATTCGGCTTTATGCATGCGTCGCGCGAAATGAACTCTATCCATGTTTAAGAGACGACACTGAATCAGATGAATTATTGCAGAATACATTGAAATACATGGTAGTCATTTTCTTCAACGTGTTCAATACTTTCCCTTCGTGAATCAGGAGTAAGTCTACTCTCTACTGTACTGTATTTATTTCGGCGGTGTCAGTTTAACCGTTTAACGTATCGCGAAAATGGTCTGCATGGGGATCACGCGATTGCCTGTGTGCATCCTTCCTTGGAAAAAAAGAGATCATACTTGAAAAGAAAGACAAATGCACTTTCAGCAACAATCTTTTAAATATTGGGCGAACTCTCCTGAGCCGGGCATTCATAACTCCGTGTTTCATTCACGCTGAACTGCCATCGAAGAAATATGTCCGGAGAGTTTTCTGAGGATCGAATAAATTATCCGTTTGCGGAGACATGTCATCTATCTCTTTCTTCTTGTCCGACGAATCGTTCAGAAATTTCGCAGTACGCCGACATGAGCCTCTTTGGATACCCAAGTTTGTTGAAAAAAGCTCGAGTATTTCAAACTTCATTTAGGGAAACAAATATCTAGACTCACTTTCCAATAATTTCATGTGAAACGTTTAAAATGCTTGCTATGAATCAGCAACACGTTGCGTTTTTCTGAAGCGAGTGGTGTTACCTTGGCATGAAAATTAAAAATCATCTCCGCCGAGTTTTGGTGGGGTCAACTTCCGGAAATGCTTGGAAACGGCATTGAAAATTGAATTCATTAACTTTTCAAGGATGATTGGAACAGCGATTGTATGTCCCTATCGTGGTCTTCGGATTGTGAAGCGTCAGCGAAGCCATGAATTGTATGGCCGAGGTTCTCAATTTTTTTAAATCACTACGCTGATAATTAATGCTGAATGATTGCCGAAATCTATTCTCTACAAGTACTGTATCTAAGAGCCGTCACGTATGAATCTTTTAAGGAATGAACATATAATGCCGAACAACGCGCTTCTGAGTGTTAAAACTTCCTGAAAACAACGCCGGTGCTCAATTTTTCTTTACATTGCGATAGATGACTCTGACAAGTAGGTTGGTCCCGCACTCAGTGAGATCACCGGCCCATTTATGAGTGCGCTTGATGAAGGGAATAACCATACGGTGGTACCTCACAATTCGACGCTAATCTGTTGCCAAACTAGGGTCGAATTGCGAAGCAGTCGAATTGCGAGACACTTTGTTAAATAAAAAGAAAGGTTAGTACAAAAAAGCGAAAAAATTGTCCGAAGCAGGTTGAATTGCGGGGCAAGGGTCGAATTGCAAGTCAACCTCCCTGCAAATTCGACCATCGAATTGCGGGACGGTCGAATCGCGGGGTACGGCTGGTATTACCTTCAGTGAGATGGGATGCAATTTAATTCAGTCTCATGTCAATGACCTCACACGGAGCAAAAATGGAAACACAGGTACAACGATACTTCAACTATAATCGAAAATTTATATGTAAAAATGTTGTCAATCCTCATATTTATTTTTTTTTTAAGGAAAGTGATGCGCGAGGCTGAAAGAAAGTTCCTGAGTACAATTTCATTTTATTCGGCTTTATGCATGCGTCGCGCGAAATGAATTCTATCCATGTTTAAGAGACGACACTGAATCAGATGAATTATTGCAGAATACATTGAAATACACGGTAGTCATTTTCTTCAACGTGTTCAATACTTTCCCTTCGTGAATCAGGAGTAAGTCTACTCTCTACTGTACTGTATTTATTTCGGCGGTGTCAGTTTAACGTATCGCGAAAATGGTCTGCATGGGGATCACGCGATTGCCTGTGTGCATCCTTCCTTGGAAAAAAAGAGATCATACTTGAAAAGAAAGACAAATGCACTTTCAGCAACAATCTTTTAAATATATAGTGGAATCACCAAGACGTGAATTATCATACAATTGGAAACCGTCAAATGAATTCATGAATCGCAATCAAAACACAAACATGCGACTGACAGATGCTGAAACCAACAAATGAGGCATTTTCCATGGATAAAAATCAAATGATCCAAAAATTTGCAACAATTTTAACCACATCATTATTCGGCGCATCAAAAGAAAAAAAGAAAAAGCGTGTCAACGGCAAAGGAAAACAAACGAGGCATTTTTCCCAAACATGACTGCAGAGATTGGTCCATTAAGTATAAAATAATCACGTGATCACTAAGATAAAATCTATGCCACATACGGTATGAAGGCACACAACACACATAACTCTCCCAGTGCACGTTTTCATTAACTTTCAAGATAGCAATTAAAACAAGCAGGAGAAATCAAGCCTGGCTTCAGCAACGAATGTTGCCCAATGATTACTTACAAAGAATTGCTTTCCATGTGACTTATCAAATTTCCACGCATAAACTTGTTTGCATGACCATCTGCTTCAAATTTCCCCTTTGGACGGATGATTGAATTTCGAATAAGACACAGCGTTTTCTGCATTCAGAAAACATAATGACTTCTTAGGTCACCTCACACCTGTTTCAATTAATTCCAAGCTCATCATGAAAAACCATCGCAGTGCATTATTTCTGCAGTCAAAATTTCCCACTTGGACGCAATCTAAGTTTTGCTGGTGAAAACGTTTGGTACATATACGATCTTTTGCAAATATATCATAAAAGCACACGAAAATTAATAGAAATGCACATCTACCAGCAAAAAATATAGAAATTCTGATGATACAATTTGGACAGTTGGAGAAGCTGAACTTGCAGTTTGTTTAAAAATCCCTTGCCTATTTCTTTCGACATATAGTTAGTTCTTCCCGCTCGAAACGCACCACTGATGGTGATGTATTCCCCTCTGGGTCGATGATCTTCTCAGGTGGACACACTCCAATATAAGAGGTATTCAAAAAATATTCTCATTCCATGACATTGACATTTTTGTAAAAAGATGCCCAAAAAGTTCTCTGCGTATGCGTTCTGGCATGAAATCAAAATCGGTGTGAGGGATACTTTTTTTGGTTTAGTCATCTTGCTCTCATCAATCAAATCATTCTGGAAATGAAACAAAAAAGAACTTGACATTGCAAAAATTAATCTTCAGATACAAATGGGGAACATATTCAAAGCCACGTTATGCTGATCTAGATCAATGAATGCACCCCAACTTTTTCTCTCAGTCACAAAGATGGTAAATTAGGATGTGGAACTCTTATCACTGTCTTGAGGACGGAGTGGATCTTGTCAACCTTGCTCCTGCACTCCCAGTAATTTAGCAGCATCGTCTGCAGATTTACTGATGAGCATCTGATCGATCAAATCCTTATCATTTATTCCCAACAAGTTTCCGATCAGGTCAGATCCCGGCTCTTCAGCGCCCTCAATCCGACTCAGCTTCGTTGTTGAAGAACCCTTCTCTGCTTGGCAACCATTAAGTCTAGAAATCGTTTCAGTGAGGAGCTTCCGCTTCCTTGGTGACGGTGCATTTACTTTGGCTGAAGCATCTTCTGGCTTTTCCTTTTCAAGAGAAGCTGCTGCAATTTCTGCCGGCTCCTGGTGCATTTCTGAATGAAGATACAGGTCAGACGGGGATCCAAAGGATTTCATGCAAAAACAGCAGCTGTGCATTTTCAGGAGTGACGATGGTGCTAAGGCGTGAGCATCAGCTGACTCTTCCTGCGTGCTTTCTGCCACTTCATCAATGTCCTGTTTGTTGAGGAATTGACCAGGATGCGCCTTGCAAATATGAGTGATGGCAATGTTTGCTGATTTGAACACTTGCATGCAATCCTCGACTGGACACAGATATGTCTTCACTGGTATCAGATTTGGGAGAGATTTCATTTCTGCAGCAACCCTCGGCTCAGCCAGCACCTGTAAGAAAGAAATGCTTTTAATGACAGAGCCGCCTGTGCAAGTAATGGTAAAATTATGTCCTTATTGCAGTGTTATAACGTACAATGTGAAATAAGAAATTAGGGGCTTTGCAAACTTGAGTTAAAATCATTGAATTTATCTTTTATTAATTAATGTACTGTACTCGCAGATTAGAGATTAGAAGTGATTAAATCTTTGCAAAAAATGCAGATTTTTGTACACGGTTGTGTGAAGCTGAAACCAAAGAGATGCGTTTTATCGCCGCCACAGGGATTTTTTTAAACTCTCAAAAGCCGAAAGAAAAATACATGATGCTCATACATCAACCTGCATTATCATAAAATTATCAACAATTTCAAAATTTAGCCTGGCCAGTTGTTTCCGAAAGACGGGTGCTAGGGTTTTTCGTGTGTTATTTTACGCACGAAAAACCCTTGCACCCTTCTTGCGAGAGTAAGTAAACTTTATGTGTTTTTTCAACGGATTCGATATCCAAGTGAACAGAAGAGAAGGATGAATTGGACACCACATGAAAATATTCGAATGAATCCGAATGTACCTTTGAGCGTAATACTGTACTGTACCGTACTTGAGTACAGCAAAGTACTTATTTTTTAAAGCCAAAATTTGCAATTTCAAGAATTTCAAGCGACACACGATGGAATTCTGAGTTTGGGGTCAAGGGCAGTTTTTAAAGAAGTTAATTGGCATTTCTTAGTTCGTGAAATACAATATTTTGATCAAAATTACCTACGCACAAACGTGCTAAATTTTTGGAAATTGTGTTAATTGTATTATCAATTTTTTTAATTTCTGGAAAACATGAGTGCGAGGCTCTTGAGTTGATAAAAATTAAAGACTTGAAAGATATCACTTTTAAAAAAACAGTTTATTTTTTCTGGATAGCCCTTTACAGCAGAATCAGTTTTAGTATATTATTCCATGCCTTTCTGGAATATAATTTTGTAGAGAATTCTTTGAACGCATTTATGGAAAAGTAAATTAGTGAAGCATACAATCACAAGGAATTGAAAGTGGATTTTATTTAGTGTAATATTTTACCTTTGATTTTGACTCGTCGTCGCTCATAGGATCAATCTTCTTGATCTTGCTTGGGCTGACAATCAGGAATGCAGGATCATGTCCAGCACTAGTGGGTTCTCCAAATGCATGAAAATGAACTCTGACGCGATGCTTCTCTAGTGCAGCATTCGAGCTGAAGTTAGCACTCGGACACATGCTGCATGTGTAGATTTTGTCGACGCCGGTCACGGGGATGGATTTGGCTCCCAGACTCGAGCCACTCTGATTCAAGGATGCTTCGTTGTTAGCATGCCCATGTTTGCGCAGCAGATGACGATCACAGTTGGACTTCGTGGTGAAGAGCAGGGGACATACAGAGCATTTGAATGGCTTCTGTCCTGTGTGGGTGAGGACATGTCTGCGCAAGGAGCTTGTCCACGGGAATTTCCTCTGACAATACGGACATGACACCTTGTGAGGAGCACTGGAATAAGCGCTTTTCTTCTTTTCCACTGCCTGGCCTTGGTTTGTGCCTTCAGCGCCAGGGGCTGGGGATGTGGATGAATCACTGATGTTGAATCCATCGGACATCTTCTGATCCCCATTTTGTCCGGGACTGCCTTCATTTCCATCAAAATCGGAGGATTTTGAGCTTGCGTCATCCGCAGTCTGGTCACATTGCTCATCGTCATCTTGCTTGAAAAATTCTTGGAAATTCTGGGTGCTGGCCTGAGACAGCAGCTTCTTCACACTGGCCAGATCCATAGCACTGGTGTTTGCTTCCATGTCTTGCATAGGTGGAATGCCCTGATGTTCTTTGGAATCCTCATCAATGACCAAATCACCGGAGTCCACCTTCTGGCTAGTCTCTGACTCGCAGTCAGAATTATCCGGGGATCCACTTTGGTCATATTCATACGAGTCACCCAAAACCTGGTCCTTCGGGTTGGATTCGGAGCCAGCCTTGATCAACATTGGCATCCTTTTGATGTGACCTTTAGCAGCCAGCTCAGCACTCAGAGACCTGAACTTTTCAGTCATCCTGGCTTGCGTCCAGTCTTCATCAACAAACTTTCCTTGGTCTTCGTTCGGTATTGAGTCTGGCTTGTCGCAAATGTCGGGAAGAAGCGTTTCTCCCGTGGATGAATCAACACTCATGAGCTTCTGATCGTCTTTGATGATGGTGTTGGGAGTCAGGCTCATTCCGGGGAACCGCCGTCCTCCGCGGGGTTTCTGGCTCCAGAATTGAGGATGCTGTTGCTTGATGTGTCTTTCCATATTTGAACGCAGGGTGAATCTCGCAGAACAGTGTTCACATACAAACGGACGTTCAGTTCGATAACGGCGTTGTTTTTGTTTACGCATCAGGACTCCGTTTTTGATGACCAGCTTCACCATGCTGCTGTCTTCAACATTCAGGTTTGCCACCGGGACTTCCTTGATGGAGCCCGATGGAATTCGTACTGTACCGCTCGCCTGCACTGATGTCTTTTGAACCTGTCCTACAGGCTTGTGCGGTGTGGACAGTGACACTTGAACCTTTGGGATGTCGTGCTTCGGGGATGCCAACTTTGTTTCGTGTAGAGGGATCTTGTCTGAAAACCGCTTCAGACCCATATCGTCCGATGACGAGTGTTCTTGGTTCATTTCACCATGCATTGTTAAGTAGTCCTTCCATGACGCGAAGAATCTCGGGTCGGTGGCCAACAGCGCCAATTCTGGCGGCAATCCAGGCATAAGCCCTCCAGAACCCGCCAAGGCGAATTCCTGCTTGAATTTTTCCAGGTAATTCTTGAAGTCGAAGAAGTTCGAGCTGACGTCATTGTTGCCACCCATCATCCTGAGACCCAGATGCGTGACAGGAACAGGGACTGGGACAGGTACAGGAACAGGACCCGTTGACGTCGGAGGGTAGAACATGAAGTTTGTATTCGGGCGTGGTCCTGGGTATTGTCCCATATACAAAGGCATGTGACAATCAGGGATGCTCGGCATGCTCATGCACAATTGCTGAGGAGTGATCCCGGGCCTGGGAGACATTTCCTTGGCAGCAAGTTCGGCCGATGACATGGGGAAACGCAGGACGGGATCGTTGGGTTTAAATTGCTTCGCCAACATTTCCCCTTGATGACCGTCATCTTTTCCCACTGATAAATCCTGCGGCTTGCCATCGTTGTCGTCTTCAATTCTAGCGGACTTCTTCAGGGGTTGCTTCTTCGTCAAGTCCAATGGATTGTCAGCATTCGTGTCGGAAACTTGAAACGCGTAACTGTTTCCCTGGGCAAGGGTAATATCAACCAAATCCGGTTCCACTTCGATAGGTACAGGACTGCTTTGTGCCAGTGGTTGTGATCCTGAGTCAGAGTCAGACTCTGGAATGCTTGCTCCTGGGAAAATGGCTCTCTGCTTGAACCGCAGCTTGTCAGCAGCATCAAAGCTGGTACCCGGCAGGGCAATATCTTTTCTGCCGAGGGCACCCTGTCCCTCGGTATTGGACTTCGGGATCCCTATGACTGCGGCATCACTGAAAGAATCGCTGCCATCTCCGCTGTCCATGTGGTGAAAAATGATCGACCTTCGGATGTCTTCACGCGTTTTCTGCCCATGGCGGTTCCTCAGGTGGCGTTCGCAATTAGCCTTGGTGGTGAAGGCGTATTGGCAGAGCTTGCACTGGAACGGACGCTCGCCATTATGCGTTCTCATGTGACGGATGAGAGTGCTCTTGTCTGAGCTGCTGTAGGGGCACATGTTGCAGAGATACGGGGCACTGTTGAGATGTGTGCGATTGTGGCCCTTCAGAGCACGGAGGTTTGGGAAAATCATGGTGCATAGACGGCACGGGAACTCTCCTTTCAACTTCATTTCCCTGATCTCAGCGGAAAGATCTTGTGCTCCAGCTATCTCGGGATCATCTTCATCTGCCAAGTATGAGAAATCTTGCGAGTGCGAGAAGCTATGACTCAGTGGGTCCGCGGCTGATGACTCATAGCCATGGCTTTCATCGTTGGATATCTCGCCATCTGTAAATCCGAAGTTGGACTTCTGCGGCCCTGATGGCAAAGTGCCACACGAGTCGTCGTCAGAATCATGTTTCTGACGAAGGTCACGAACTTTCAGGTAGCCCTGTTTGATGCTGGGATCCGTTGACCCGGGTCGGGAGTCTTCGGATTCTGACTCATTATCCCCGAGGACATTCATGTGTTTCGTGGCTATGTGCAGACTGAGGCCGCCTTGAGTGGAAAACACCGCCATACACTGCAGACATGTGAATGACCCTGCTGTTTCCTGATTTTCGTTGACATCATCCGGCTTGAGCTTAGATTCCAGTTTGGATCGAGACCAATCGTCAGCTTCGTTGTCAGAACCCGCAGCGTCAGACTGGTCCATTTCAGCTTGATCAGCACTGACGGATATCGGAGATTCGGGGTACTCGGGTTCCGTCTCTCCAGCCTTCTGGCTTGATGGGGATGACGACTGCAGATTGTCTTCGCCTTCGTGAAGACCATTCACTTTCACCTCGAGGCCATCTTCGACATCCTCCTTCATTTCAATAGATTGAGAACTTTGCAGATGATGATGGAACTCATCCCTGTGTTCCTCGTTATAGTGCAGCAAAAGGGCTTCTCCAACGTGGAATGTCCTGTCGCAGAATTTGCATATCATTGCGTCCACATGCGTCAAAATGTGCGACTCGAGCTCGGCGTCTGAGGGAAAGTGCTCCAGGCAAAGAACACAGAGCAACGAGCCAGAAGCTATTCTGATTTCTGCTTCCAGGTGTTGCTTACACTTGCCCAAATGACTCGCCAGAACCCGTCCTGAGCGCTGTTCTTTCCCACATATTGGGCAGCAGTTCAAAAGCTTCATTTTCGCCTGCTTGGCTTCTTTCGTCGATTCTTCTTTTACATCGTCAGTCTGCTTCGTAGACGGCGAAGCAGATCGTGGTGGCTTTCGATTTCGAGCCTGCCGGAAGAAAAATATTTCAAAGAAAAAATTAGGACGGAGATTAAGCAATTTATTCCGGGGGGGAAAAACTGATCAAGTTTTCGCAATTAATTGTACGAGCTTATAAACAATAAGTCAAAAATTGCGACACAACTTAAATGAAACAGTAAATTGGTCAGTACAGCGAGAGCCTGACTTCTGATCTTTCTGAGGGTTTTGGAAAATGTTTCGAATTTAATTTTCTTTCAAGTCTTCACATTTTTATAGAATAAGGAAAAAAGAACTGGCGTCGTTTGGGAAGATCGAATCAATCGCAAACATTTTCTCTACCGTTTCCTGTCTTCAAAAAGTTTTATACCTTTCTGATTTTGCTGCCATGAGCGATTTATTTTAATCGGCGATCACGCAGTGCATCAAAAATTACTGTACTACGGTAATTCCAATCATGCCTGATTTCAGAGTTATTGATGATGATCAACGATTTTCTGAAAGATCTCTAAATAATCAAGTATTTCGAGAAAAAAAAATTCTGTACAGGGATCCTTAGCTTATCCAGTAGCTCACAACCCACAAGAGTGAAATGAAAGTTCAAACGCACCAATTTAAGATTTTGGAAATTAAGAAAGAACACATCAGGAATTTTGGAATGGCTTTAACTTTTCAATAAGAAGAATAAAGAAATGTGTTCCAAATCCGTGGATAATATTGTACAGTACTTCAAAAAGAGGCGGGAAAAGATGATCACAGTGATGAAAACAGAAAAGGTCCGACAAGTAGCAATGCTTTTTTTTTCGAATTCCATATGGAACTCAAACGCAAGCATTTCACTGGGACGTTTTTTTCTTTAATTGTTGAAAGCACGCAGAAAGCAGAACCCTCAGCAGTTTTCCCAAGCCTCAACATTTTAAAATCGACCCTCGTTCAATCTTACACCAATAATTAAAAATGCACGCAAAACCAGGAGCATCGTCACTGAGAAGTTCATTCATCAGTTCAAAATTTTCGTTGGCACTATGAATACCGACGCATATTTCAAATCACGATGCTCAAGGACAATACCTTACACAGCCTCGCTCCAATGACTGCATGTAAGGTCCAATGGGGAGCTTTGAATTGCGATGACTTAAGATTATAAGTTGAGTCGTCCGAAGGGAAAATTCGTGCTGAAGCAAATTTAAAGGTAAATATATAAAACTTACCGTGAAAGCGCGCGTGCGCTTTTCCTCCATTTCCAGGCCGTGTTCTGAGTCCTCGGCGTCGGCGAATTCTCCTTCGGATGCTTCGTCGCGTGACCCGGTCTCCCCGAAATAGCGAACTAGATTTCTCACAGACACCGCAGGGCTTGAATTCGTTCGTGGCATGGACAACGCCCAGTCGACTGCTTTCCCTCGGGAAACGATCGGACTCCAACCATCCCGTTGATCACCGGATCCTGCGCACCAAGAAATAGAGGAGCAAAGCGGGCGTTAATTGCTGGGGAAACTTTCTGCCGAAAGCAGCAGCGCACTCAAACAAACCAAAACCCACACCCCCCTCCCCTTCTGGCCCCCACACGTGGTTATCACACTCTGTTTTAAGCCGTGACTCGAAAACGGCACACGTACACGCGCCCCGATGGGAATAAGTTCTGCACTTGATGTGCGAAGGGCAAATCTGTTTCCGTCCATCAAAGATGAAAGATGCGACGTTGCACTTCGTGCCTCGAACTGGGTCATGGAGCACTTGACAGGCTGCCGCTTAACTGAAAATTCAAATTGGCATTTCATCTGACATTTCCCGGGTACCCCCGAGTTTCTCGAGAACTTCAGAGCATCTCCGCGAAGCTAATAGGGAACCCGACATTTCAGAATGAATTCACATGTCGGAGGAAATTTTTGTACATGCTTTTTCGTTTCATCCCCGTGTCCATTCCTTCTTTTTTTTTTTGCCTTACGCGGAAGAATTTCGGCTCGGAAATATTACAAAGCGGACAATCCCCCCCCCTCCCCTTAGTCCCCAATGTGGGCATTTTCACAAGGAGAAAGTACTGGACAAAAATTAACTTACCATTTATTTTTTTCTGATTTTACTGTTGGGAGAGAACACAAAAGAGCCAGAAAATGTAATAAAATCATCCAAATGATTCCCAGTCCGATTGCAGTTCCATTCCCGCAACAGTTTTGTTTCATAACCTTCGACTTAGCCTAACACACCACACCCAGTCCCTGTAATGTGGAAACTGTATCTCCACCAAAGGCAAGCTAAATATTCAGGCAACCATATAGGCCGCGTGCAAGTAAAGGAAAAGGCCACAAAAATCAGGAACTTCCGGAGAGAAGAACACAGACTGCGGATGAACAAGAACTAAGATTGCATTAGTTCTGCGAGTTTTTCGTCGAAAGGTTCTCAATATACTGGCTATTGCATTCTTCACGTGAGTGCGGATCAAAGGGTCAGGACTTGTTGGTAAACAATTAAGTCGAGCAAATAAGGGACCTTGTTTTGCGCAGGGTATCCAACGTCCGAAAAATGGATGTGGGGATAGAGCATGAAGTCACCGCACTGTACTGTACAGTATTCTATTTCGGTTACCGGCGGAATGGTGCCTTTTTTTTTTTTTTCTTCCTGGGTCTTCGACAGCCAGCAGGGCGGTCTGGAAAAGGTGTTGATTACAGTCTGGAGAAAACGGCTTGAGCAAATGAGTTTCAACCATGAGCGTAAAATCAGCAGCAGGATCCCCGTGCTATGGAGCAGTTATTGTTTCGTGTGCACGTAGGCGCGTCACGGGGAAGAGCTCGACAGATCGTTCACTCCGAGCAACGCTGAGCGACACCTCGTCATCACGATCTGACGACTAATGGAATTGTTCCCAAAATATTCCCACCTGTTCGACACAACCCAGACGGAGTTCCGTGGAGGCAATTAGAGCCGTTCGTGGCGAATGAGCTCTCACACAGCAGCTCGTATCCACTGATTCTTGTCCAGGTCTCGTCACGTCTTCTCCTCACCTTTTGCCCACTTCTCACGGAATAATCTGCCCCTCTAATGATGTCATTTTATTACCACCCACATTCCGACGCCCTTTCGCGGGAAGCGGGCGCGTTTTCCCAGCCGAAATTAACTTTCTTATCTCCGGGGTATCAATCGGAGAACTCGACCGCAAATTTCTCACGAACGGAAAGTCAATCTCGGCGCCGTGGTCAACAAACCTCATCCTGAGGAAACCTGCCTTACCAAGAATACCCATTCAATTACCGTCGATCACCACATTTTTTTGTGCAAAATTAATCCTCTGAGCCTCGAACAAGTGCCTACAAACACAGATCAATTTCCCGACCAGCACGCGGCTATCTTTCTGGAACTGCCCTTTCCACATATTTTTGTGGATCGGTATTCTTCAAACAAGGAAAACCGTCATTTACTAAATTCACAAAAATGAAGATGAAAGCTGTCCTTAATGAGTAATTTTTTGCTAAAGTGAAAATTAAAAGAAAAATTAAATCTACTTTTAAATGACTGGATCATAATTCAAACCTTGCATACTAATTTTTCTTCTTATGCGATCACCCGTGATATTTGATCATCTATATCCGGGCAAAGACAAGTTCATTTCAACGCTTTTGTCTTCAGCATCCAACGCGAGACATTTTTTTTGGCAGTTTTCACTTGAAGTGACCACTTTTTGCTGCTTCGGCAGAGGAAAAATGAAATAATCTGCGTGTCGTCGGTTGGCGGAGTTTGGTTCGGAATCTGCTTCGACACATCCCAGCCCCACCCAATATGTTTTGTAATCTGGTTGTTTGAAGCAGCGATGTGTTGTAAGAATAAAGTGACATTTCGTCTGACGGAGTTACAAAGCGTCGAAACGGGAGCAAGAAGCCGCCATAGCGAGCGGTGAGGACAGAGGACGAGGAAGAAAAAGGGGATCCTGTCAAATGCAATTTCTGGGGTGCGGCTTATCTGTCTCAACACGCGACGAATGGCGCATCTATCGAATGCCAACCAGAAACTGCACAGTCAGATAATCCCCCTTCTAGCATCTGCGAGAATTCTGGCGACGTCGGAAGTTATTTATCTGGCTCGGAATAGCTCCACGTTGCCCCATGTGGATCGCCGTCGGAAATTTTCCCCGGAACGAGCCGTGTTCGTGTTTGCGGTGTCGAGGTTCCCGGAACACAATTTTCATGCTTTCCTCGAGGAAGCGAATTCCTTGGGCCGGTGGAAAATTTCAAGACGATCAGCAAACTGGGTCGATTTGTTCACGCAGTCGGAAAACAGACGACACGGCGCAGGCGCATCCTGCACTCGGTCGAAGCAGATTTACTCGATAGGTGTTTGATCTGGTTCAATTCTTTGGTTTTTGCGTAAACGTCGGGGTTTCTAATTCGGGACCAGAGGGAATCCGGACAAGAGGACAGGAGACTGCCAGGCGCCAGACCCGATCTCCGCTGAAAGCGAATCGCGACGGCGCGAAGGGGGAAAATCGCTCCAGTGTTTGCCGAGATGGGAAAGCCCTTGTGCCAATATTTGCTCGTGGAGTGGCTCCGGAACGGGATGACGATTACTGATGATGGTTGCACATTGTTATTCGTCTCCATCTTTAATATCTGCGGGGTTTGCGCCGAGGGATTCACTCAATTATTCCCACGAATGAATCTCCTTTTAATGGAAACACGCCTCGACGTTCCCCTCCAGGCAAACAAGGTTTCGCACGGTTACTGATTCGTTCACTTCTGCACCCGGCGTGAAGGTAAACACTTTCCTACGTTGATTCTACTCCAAGCACATGCTGAAATTCTCTCAGCCTTCTGTGCGTACAAAAGACCAGGTATTTTTGTCGCAGCTCAAATGAAAACCATACGAAATCCCCGGTTGATGAGAAACATTAATAACCCCGGGGCAACATCATTGCAACGTGAAGCGAACCCGAAACTTGCAAGTAAGAAAACTTTGTGAGTACGCGCAGATTCATCATATAGGCCGCGCTTTTCCTCGGAGAAAAGGGTTTGAAAACATCAGATGCGCCCTATACTCAAAATATATGCTAGGCCGCAGTGATGAGGAGTTTCGGATTACGTTCAAGTCCAGGTAATTTGGAAGGAAAGAGATCAAGACGAGGGTCAAACAACAGACAAGAATCGTACCAGATGTATGAAATCTCAACAAAGCCTTTAGTCGGGCTATTGGTGTAATGGATGACATTTTTAAAGACATCAGAGTAATCTGTGTATCGATTAAATCTGACAGACGAAATACACCTATGGTTTTAAGTCTGCACAGGTCGCATTTCCTATAGAAATCAAGTTTCTCTCTTGTGCCCTTGAACTCGAATTATGATTAGTAAACGAATTTGTTCGATTGAATTTTATACGAATTTTCTTCGAACGATTGCTGCAAAGACCAGACAACTTCACCTGAAAATCTGAGTTGACGTCGAAAATAAAACGCACCTCGATTTTGTGGCAAAATTTTGCGGAAAAGTGCCTTTTAAATTTGATAAAAGCCTTATAAATTTTTTAGAGCAGCACGGCGATCGCATCAATCATATCTTGCGAGCAAAAAAAGGCAGATAAATATGTTAAAACTTCAACTCTCGAGCTTTCTGACAGAGCTTACGAACCCCCCAACGTAAATCAAAAGCCCAACATGGGTGTTGACTTTCCCTAAGCATCTCACCTTGCACCAGATAGCGCAACACGATTACAGTATCTTTGAGAGAGAAAAAAGAGAAATTGCGCAAATGGCGAAATTTCTGGCGGTTAAAAACGTAGATTTTCGCACTGAAATAAAATAAAATCTTCTTAACAAAGTTCGAGGACCACTTCACGTAATAAAAAAAAAAGCGCAGCGCTGATATAGACTTTCCCGCAGCGTCTCACCTTGCATTAGTCAGTACAACGGCGATTCCGCGTAAATAAACCGTGAATTCTCACACGACTAACAACTTCAATTTTTGCGTTAAAATAAGGGCTTCCAAAAAGAGTTTGAGGACCAGCTCACGTAATTCAAGAGCGCAAGATGGATGATGTTGATTTTCCCGAAGCGTCTCACCTTGCATCAAATGGCACAACGCGATCGAAACACGTCGCGGCTGTCGTCAGAGAGAACAACGAATTCTGTTCTGATCACCGTTGTCGACGCGGCTCTGCAGAAGTTTTTAGTTTTTCTTTCGCCTCATGCCACACGTTTTGCCTCCGGAGTGTCTCGCTATCACATAAAAACGCCAGATCCCCCCCACCGACGCGTTGCTTAGCAATGAGAAAAAACGCAGATGTCAGGAAAAAATTCCGCTCCGTTGTGTCTTCTTCGAGTGCTGGCGGCGAAGGGGGATAAGGCTGCAAACGGCGGCATCAGCCTCACGTTCACACGAGTGCGGACAGGGCTTTTCAACCTTGTTGTGTGAATCATATACGCGAGAAGTCTTCAACCGGAGGTACGCGAGATTTTCCTAGCGAAGGGATTGGCTTTTAAAAATGGCCAGAAGAATTGGGTGGAGGAAAAGGAGTATGCTGCTTACGATATTCGAAAAGCAACACAGCGAAACGGTCTGGTCGACATATCTTGTCAAATGACGCGCAGAAACCTCAGGAAGAGTAACTTTAAATCTACAGTGTTTCTTGTGTGGGAATTTCGCAATATAATTGCAAACTGACATGTGCTTCATTTGAGTTATAGATTCACGACATCTCGTCCTTGAAAGAGGTACCATCCAATAAAAAGGTTGGCATGTCACGAAGTCAAAATCATCTAGTTCTTTCTTCGAGCGCTCTTGTGTCAGTCGCATTCAAATAAAAAGTCTGAGTATCATTATAGTGATGCGTAACATTCGTGGAAAAATTCCTGATTTCAGAATCACGCACCACCTTTTTTCACCACCCAAAAACCCAAATCCAGATGACCTCCAACTAGGAAATATAAAAAGTAAAGTTTTTCCTTCCCTTTGTTGCCGACGCGATGGCACATGTGTGTCGGGTATCTTTGCACATGGACTCAAGAAGTACTTCCGTGTTTGAGCGACCGACGAACGACCTCAAAGTTTTCCTTTCCGCCGTTGGATTTTAAGCCGTATAAACTTCGAAAGCATTCTGACTTTATTAGGCCACGTGCAATCATATTCCGCAACCCAATCTCGGTAGGCACTTCTACAAAAAAATTACAGTAGATGAATATAAAAAAATCGTGGTTTCTGAGGAAGAAGCAAGGCCGAGACACGGAGAATGGGCCGATTAAAAAAAAAAGAAAATGCAGCTACAGTACTGCGCTACATTTTCCGATGCATTACATTTCTGTAATGCTAAAACTGGAGATTATATTATTTGCGGAATACTAAAAGCATTTTCCCAAACATCTTTTCTGAAAGCGCTGCGACCCATACTTGAAGTATTCTAGTTCAGACCGAAACTACTCAGAGATAACTTATAATAAAAAATGTTTATGTCGATTTAGATTTAAAAATTGTGAAAAAAAAATTTTGAAGCGTAAAACAGCGAATAATCATTCAAGGATTATTCAGTTATACTTATCGGTATCCTTCTGATCATTATTCAAGCAAGATAATTGTGTAAACATCTGTCGGTAGAAATACCATTTAGTAAATAAAATTCCTATTATTATTCATTTACAGAAAAGAATTTCCTTTACAAATTATCAAAAAATACTTTATAACTACCGATATTACACTATTATTTTTCTTGAGCACAGGCTGCTCAGAATCAGTGTGCTGCCTCTCCTCTCACGCCGCCCATAAACGCGGAAATACGCCAAAGCTTTCACAAACGCCACAATAGATCGCATTTTATGAGTGGGAAGAGAGGGAAGAGAGCTGGTACAGTATTTTTAGCCCTGTTCCTGATGTCTTCAAAATATATTTCTATATCTGTTATACGCCACACAGACGCGAGAGAAATGCAACCCAAATGTAATATTTCGAGAATGACCAATTTTTTTTGGGAATGCCCACGCCCAATTTTGAGCACAATTTTTCGTGCGGACTATCATCGAATAAATGCGGTACTTCTCGGAACCCTGGGTCAAGCACCAACCGGGATGCAGTAACAGCTGCATGATGGAATTCCCCGGGAAAGTGATCAAACAGTTGAAGCCAAGAACAAGACGTGCGTCGGCGGATCGGAAGTAAACCCTCGTCTTTCCGTCGTGTGACGATGGTAGTAATTTTCGAGCCGCAAACTCTGACACGCAATAGACTCATCAAAGGTGACGGATGCACAGAGAAGCTGCGGAAAAAAT